GGGGCATGGAGGGAGCGTGGAGAATACATACAGACTGGTGAACTGAACACATCCAGCAGGAAGGTGATGGAAATCAGATCCCATTAGGTATTCATAACTATTCAAGGATTTCTTGTATTAAATGCCAAAATACTGAATAATGATAATGATTTTGCTCTGATAATTCAATCACCACTTTGAATTACCTTGTAAGGCATTTACTATTATTATCTCCCCCAAAAGCAAGGCAGAGGGTGATTAATGACTTGCCTAGTCATGCATCTAGGAAGTGATAAGTCTGTGATTGACTTGAGGTTGATAAGACTCCAGAGTCTTTGCTCATTACTGCTACACTCTGCGAACTTACTCTGCATTCTTCTTGGGGAGTTCCCAGAAGCAGACGCTTCTCTTGCAGCATTCTGAGAAGCCCTCTAACTTGGATCCTTACCTTTCTTTACTCTCCCAAAGTGGGCTGATTAATTGGCCACAGCATTAAGAAGGGGGCCCAGAACTGGGAAGACCAGGACCTGGAATGGCGGCAGGTGGTCAAGGCATGAGTAGATGGGCAGAGCTGTGAAACCAGGAACAGAGAACCAGCAGAAAGGAACACAGAGACTAAGAACAGTCATTTCACCTGTAGCATGGAGGTTGACCAGGGGAAAAGGGATGCAAAAGTTATAAGCCCAGGTTAGAATAGCTCCTGAAGAAATGGGTGAAGGGTGAGCATGCTTTATTCTAACAAAAGCAGCTAATAGTTCTACAGCATTTTAGTATTTGAGGCAAATTCTGGGATATATTCTCATTGGTTTTCATTAAAACAAAACAAAACAAAACAAAACAAAACAAACAGAATAATGAGCCCCCTGCACCAAATGTTATTCCCCTTGAGAAGTCAGGGTTGTGGTAACTGAATGTAGGTTTGGGCCATCCTGGGAACGTGGTCTATCTTACTAGACTGTGAGCCTCTTGAAGGTGGTGTCTTTTCATTTTGATACCCTTGACACTAGCATGGTGTCTGGTCCTTAGTAGCTAATATCAAATATTTGTTAAATGAATGAATTGAAAATAGAGTAAATAGTGGAATCATGAGGGTGTTTGAGATCCAATATCATCAGGAACCTAATTCTGGTTCTGCTACTTATTGAGTGAGAGTCCTCATGGGTAGGTCATCAACTTTTTCTGAGACTTAGTATTCTGAAATGTGGGTAAGAATGAAATATTCCTACATTTATAGAGTCGTTAGGAATTTATACACACATACACACACACACACACACACACACACACACACACACACACACTGCTATGGCTTTAATGACCCCTCCAAAACTCATTTTGAAATGTGATTGCCATTGTGACGGCATGGAAAGTTAGGGTGTTTACGAGGAGAGTAAATCACGAGAACGGATTGATGCTGTTATCTCAGGAACTGGTTAGGCACAATGTGCATGGGCTCCTCATAAAAGGATGACATTTGGACCCCATCCTTCTTCTTGTGCTCATCACTTGCCTTTCTGCCTTCCGCCATGGGATGGCACAGCACAAAGTCCCTCGCCAGGCGTAGCGCCATGATCTTGGACTTCCCAACCTTCAGAGATGTGAACTGAAAACACTTCTGTTGTTTAGAAGTTATCTAGTCTGTGGTATTCTGCTATTGCAGCAGTAAATATACTAAAGACACACTCTTATACATGCACACACACACACACAATCCGTACTGCTTTTGTTCCTAGCAAGGTAAGGATGAAGACGGTGATGATGACAGTGACGACAGTGATAATGAAGGAGTAACTTTTCTTGGGGGGATTCTATTATTCTTTTTCTACAGTCCATTATTTGAACAAGTTTATTTCCAGACAGCTTCTTCTAAGCAACACACTGTTATTAAGCATTCCACTTGGGAAAAGAGCAGAAGAGAATGCTGTTCAGGTAGCAAGGTGACCTCTGTTATTAAACTAACACGATGGGGCAGGCTCACTCTCCCCTACTCGTTAACTGTTATAGAGGAAGGTTTAAAAGCCACCTCACCACCTTCTCTCAGAAATAAAAGCTCTCACTGTAGGGATTTGCTGATCCCTCCTAAGCCAGTGACTCTGGGCCATGAGCTGGGTTACATAGTTCATCTCGAGGTTGGCTGAGGTTTTGCCTTCTTTTGACAGTCAACTTTCTTTAGTTCATAAAAGAATCTTTGCTTTCATTGTTGTCACCATTACAAGCCCATACTTTTTCCTCTCATCTCTGTATCTCCCCCCATTCACTTACCCCAAAACTATGTAGTTGTAATTCAGTTAAGATGGCATTTAATAAAGAGAATGGTGGACTAACTCCGCGCTCAGCACTAGCTCCCTACCTGATATTCATCCATGGCTTGACAAGGAGCCCACAGAAAGGAGCTCTCCTTTTCTGTTTTCTTTCCTTTCTTTTTCTTTTCCTTTTTTTTTTCCTTTTCTTCTTCCTTCTTCTCTTCTCCTCTCTTCTTTTTTTTTTTTTTAAGAGGTTTTTGCCGTAGGGCACATGCACTTGCTGAAGAGACAGAGAGACAGAGACAGTGAGAGGGAATGTGAGAAACCACCTCTTGTGGGGATGACCATACTGTAATCCATTCTCCTTCATTCTCCTCCTGGGATTCTGAACACACAGGCACACACACCCAGCATGGTTTTCAAGCCACCAGGTCTGAGACTTAAACCACAATGGGTCCATGTGGGAGTTCAGTGATGTAACTGTCATGGTGTCTGCTGGCTCCAGGAACTCTTTACTGTGCTCCCAAGATGTACTTGCCACCTTCCTGTGCCACTTGGATAGTAGAGGAGGAGGGAGGATGCTGGAATTAAGAGTCATGGAATATAAGCAAATTGCAACTTTCCTTTATAAATTTATTAAATGTCTTCCAAAATATTTTTTACAAAATAGATGACAAGAGCTATTCTGTCCATGCATATTGTGATAATCTATTAATATGAACACAATCATGAGTCTAGGGTGGGTTTAAAACAAACTTACTTAGAATGCTTAGAATTAGTAAACTTTGCTTTATGTTCCAGTGAAATACACAGGGAATAAGTATGCTTAAGAATTTTATATACCATACCTTTCAATAATACATCCACCCAAATGACCTTATTTTCTCCCCTCCTACACTCCGTAAATGAGATGCAACTGTAGATTCCTTGATCCTTGGTACCACTTCGACAGGGTGAAGTGATAGTCCATTGATATGTGAAAAATTCTATGGGTAGTGTTCAAAAGCTTTCTGATATTTATTTATGCAAAATTTTTTATCTTTGTCTTCTATGAGTTTTTGTATCTGGGAATTTTTTTGGATAACTTTCAGCAGATTCTCATAGTTGTAAATGTCCCCCAAAATGTTAAGAACCACTAACCAGGAGGACTTAGTAACACACTCTGTAAACTACATGCAATGTATTTTAAGCAAAAATCAGAGATGTAATATTAAAACAAACAAACAAAAAACTCCCTTTCTTCATGCTTACATGATCTCACTCCTTGCCCAGGTAATGAAAGAACTGCAATCATAGGTGGTGTGGAAAAGTGAGGGACAGAGGTAGATAAGGCTAGTCATAGCCAACACTCGGATGCATTCTGCTTTCTGAATCTGTGCAATCTCCACAGTAGTAGTCATACCCCCCCACCACATGAATACAGACAGGAAGACAAATGTTGGTTAAACAGAAAGTTTGTTGGCTTCCAAGCACTCCACAAAGGTATGCTCACAGGTAAGCCCAGAAACGTCCACTCAAAGAGTGCAAGACCAGGAGTGGGTGTTTCTGAAGAATCGTGTTAGGAGGGCTCAGTTTGAGTCCTACCTGATAATTTTGACAAGTCACCGATCCCAAGCCTGTTTCCTCATCTTGTCAATCCAGGTGAGCTTACTCCCTCAATTTGCCTTTCAAGAATATAATTGCTAAATAACAGAGTTTGTGAAAAGCACTAAGAAAAAAGACGAAGCCTTAAAAAAGTAGAGGAAGCTGGATATTTTGGTCTCAATAGAAAGATTTTGTTTGTTCTGAAAGGGCAACTATGACTGACATGGGTGAGTAGACTGCTTCCTGGGAAAGAAACCAACAGGTTGGATGGGACTCGTTTAAACTTATTTAAAAGCTGGAGTCAAAATATTTTCTAGGCTGCTTTAAGTAAACTTGAAAACTGGGCCAGCCTGTGGCTTGGTGGTTCAGGTGGCTGGATTCCACATGGCTGACTGAGTGGTTCAAGTCCCAGATCTGGGGCCTTGAGAAACATGTGTGTGTGTGTGTGTGTGTGTGTGTGTGCGCGCACCTAAAATCCCCAAAGGAGGGACAGATGGAAAGGAAGGGATTGTAGCATGACCATTCCCCACGGGGGGCGTACTTTCTCACTTTAACCCTCTCTCTCCAATGAATGCACGTTCCTTCTGGCAAATTAAAAAAAAAAAAAATTGAAGACTATTTGTTGATCTGATATTCTAGGGACCAACTGAAGATGTGAGTGTACCAGACTTCAGTTCAGTGATCACTGTGAATAACTCTGTGTGTTTTGTGTTTTGCTCTTAGCCTTCTGACCACTCTGAGTCTGAGGTCACCTAAAAACAGATCCCTGTCCTTAAAGCCCACTAGACAATTGCCCTTCTACATTAACCCTGTTGGAATGTGACCACCTCATGTGTTAGCTTGCAAGTGCAACATGCAGACTAAAATCTTTAACGATAATAATAAGTAGGCACGACTCTCCTAGGATGTGCTATGCCAGGCACTACTTTGTGTTCTTTCAGGTATTCTTTGCAAATACTCTACAGAGTAAATTTGTTGGATATAGGTCGCATCTAGTTGATATGATCAGGAAATAGCTTTACTTTTCTCCCTACCACCTTCAAACTCACTTCGTTGAATTTGTCTTCTCTCTCCCTAATGGCATATCAAGGACGGGCTATAGCTCCCTGGTCACTTTCAAGTATTAAAAAGCCTAGTTCAATCAAAATCAAAATTTAATTTACCATCCATATAAAACCTCTCCCCTCTGTGCAGCTCAGGCTTGTCCAGAAGCTCGAGCACCAGTAAAAGCACTGGATTGCTTCGTCCACTCTTCAACTCTCCTTGCTCCATTTCCGATTCTACTCATCTTGTTGCTGATGGATTTTCTAAGTCTGTAAAGGTGAGGAGGATGAAAACTCAGGTGGCCGATGATGGTCATGGGGTTCTGCTGGTGTTGAAAGCCTTTGAAATAGTAGGATCCAAAATATTGGCTCCTCCAGATGGTACTAAATATATATATGTGTGTGTGTGTGTGTGTGTGTGTGAGTGTATCTAACTTAATTTATACATTCAATCACTATACATCATTTAGCTTGTGAAGTGAATTTACCCAACATGAATAGACTTCACACCAGTCCAGTTGAGGATACTATACACGTTATCATCAACAGATAATAGTCCAGGTGACATTATTATGCACATTCTTTAGAGACCCCGGCTTAGCAATGTGCTAGGCTAGCCTGGGACCTCTCTTAGCTCCTGCCCCCTGGTGACTCTAATGCCCTTGAGTGTAAGCTGGCAATTACCTGCTTTAGTGAAATGCATTCACAAGTAATCTGCCTTTATGGGCAGCTTTGATGAACTCCTGCCCTCAGTCTTCTCCAGACCAGTCTTAGACATGGATGTTTATGTTCCCAACATCAGGGGAACATATTTTAGGTCTCCCAAGAAATCCATTATGCACCAACCTCTGATTCAACTTGGGACCAGCCTCTGCACACCAGTAAGCATCCACCTTGGGAGTAATTCATGTCTGCCTTTGTTCCTCAAATCCTTTTCCCAAGGGTTATCTCTTCACTTTGCTGTGCAGATGAAAACTTATCCCCAATATTACAAGTCTGTTTGAAAGAATTTTATTCTCCCTTCAGAGGGCTCTAGCCTTTCTTTTTCTTTTCTTTTTTCTTTTT